GAAGAATAGAGGAAATTTTTGAAAATCATGTAAATACTTTAAAAAGTATTTTAAAGGCCCAATCATATATCTGCACCACGGCAAAAAAACCCGTAGTTTTATGGGAATAACAGCTCACTGGGTAATATTAATATCTTATTTTAATTTTTTTGTAAATTATTTTCAAAGATAACAAGAGAAACCCTTGAAAGGCAATCAAGAGCCTTGGCATGTAGAAGAATGCCTGGCACACATTTGATAAAATTGCCGAGTTATTGGAAGAAGTCTATAGAAAGTATGGGATTTATAATAAACTAATGCTACTCTCACATATAATGCATCCATTTTTGTAAAGTCAACTGAATATGGTGTAAAATTAAATGCTCATGACAACTATTTTGAGGATGAGGATGACCTATTAGAATTTAATGAAATCAATGATGGTTATTACAAAATTTTTTAAAATCTTTATCTTTAGATGATAAACAAAATAATATTACCCAGGCACAGATGTGCTGTCCTTAATTGCAACTAAATATATTATTTCATATCAAGCTCAAAGAATCTTGGGAAGACTCAATTTGGACTAATGGGGAAATGCATAAAATTATGGAATGCATGTGGAAGGACCAAATCTTCTGAAAAGATAAGAGATAACAGGTGGTATTCAGTTAAAGGTTCCATGCATAATGAGATTGAACAGTTTATATGATTTAAATATAAATCCGATTTAAAATTATTATTTGAAACAATTGATTGTCCTAATTTAAAAGAAATGGATATTGTTTATGGAGGAATATTGTAAAGTTTTAGGCCATGTAGCAATTGCATTAGACAAACTACAAGGGCAGAGTAGTACATTTTATGGGGAATTAATGTCCATACTATTTGTGGTTAAAAGGGAATTAGGTAAACTTGAACATTCAAGTTTACACTATTGTCTACCTCTATAAAAAGCTGTCCAAAATGGTATGGGCAAAAGATTTGGAAAAATTTTTCCTTATGATGATGAATATAATGAGGCCCTTTTGGCATCATTATCACATCCATATTTTAAGAACTTATGGATTGAATCTGATTATGAAAAAAAATACTTTCAAAATATATTACTAAATGAAACCTTAAATCTAGCATCTATAGTATACCGTCAAGCTCATGCTGTATCACCAATAGATTTAATATCTAATAAAGAAAATGATGATTATTTTTCTTTTGGTGAAACAAATATTGTGAGTTCAACAATACAAACAAAATTGAGCTCGAGGTTTTAAATTATATTAAATACCACCGAAAAACACTAGAAATGCTTAATTTTTATCCTTTAAGGAAATTTTATCAAAATATAATACTGCCATACCTTCATCAGCTCCTGTTGAGATGTTATTTAGTTTTGGCAGAATGTTAAATATGCCAAAAAGGCAAAAGCTCATGATAAATTATTTGAAAAATTAATTATTTTAAAAAATAATCATTTGATTTAATTTTTTTTTTACTTATTTTCAAATTTTCAACTTCCATAAAATACTACTCTCCTTTCCCTGTTTATGCTATTAATGGGCAAAAACTAATGTTAAAATCCCTGGATATTATAATTAATTTATCAATAAATATTTTTTTAATTATTGTAAATATTCATTCTTATTATATGTGTATGCTATGTTCTTCACAAATAAATAATAAAAACTGCATTTTATAAACTATTCTAATTTAATTGGTAATGATAATTTAAAAGTATCTTGTAATTAAGATACTCTAATTTAGCAAAAGTAAAGGTATCTTTTATCTTGTATCTTTTTGATATTTTGAAAAAGATACTAGTATCTGTATCTAAAGATTTTTTTTCCGGAAGACCTGCCCACCTCTGAGTGGAATGTATTATAAATTTTATTAAGAAAACCTAAGTCCCATTTTCTATAAATTAAAACAGAGACCAATGAGTATATATATCTAGTGAATTTATTAAAGTAATTGTACTAGGAAACACAAAAATTAACATTATAATAAATAATAGTAACTAAGAACTGGACACTTGTAAGAAATGTATCCAATTATCGAATGCATTGTGCCTGCATCTCATAGACATTTAATTTGCTTTTAAAAGATCTAACAAATAAAATATTGCCAATTTAATTGTAGCCAGGGTTGTGAACCCAACAAAATTTTTGCCCAGGTTCAGTTTGGGTTTGGTTTAAGGTAAAAAAAAAAAGGTGGGTTCGATTTCAGGGAAATATTTTTGAACCTGGGTTTGGTTCCTTGTTTAGCTCAGTAAGAATTTTTGAATTGATAAAAAAAATTTCTATATTTAAATCATAATTAAAAAACTGACATAAATTGGTATAAAAATATTTTATTTTATTTATATGCAAAATAAAATATAAAAGTTTACAAAAATTGCCCTACATCTTTGTTTAACAATTTTTAAGTTAGAATCTTGTCAATTAACAATATCCAATATAATAATTTTTACTTTGACTTGTTCACTTCCATTTTCCTTTAATTAATAATTTTTGAGAAAAGTTAAAAATTAAAAATAAATGAATTTAATTGTTTAAAATTTATTAACACACCAATAGGAATCTTTGAGAATAAATTTTAAAAAATTTAAAAATGGTGTAAATGAATTAAGTTGTTTAAAATATATCAACACTTTACTTTATTGGAAATTTGAAAATATTATAAAATTTTAATTAAATTATTAATATTTGTATTTACAATTATACAAATACCTTAATATATGATTTTAAACAATACATTGAACCTTGTAGAACCCAGGTTCAAATAAAATTCCCAGGTTTGGTTCGGGGTTTTGAAAATTTTATAAATCGGGTTTAGATTTTTCAAAAACCCGGGTTTAGCTTTGGTTCGAATCCCTGTGTAGTAGCAAAAGCCCAAATTATTATAAAATAAAATATCTATAATTCAACATTCTTCTATACACTTAAGGAAAAACAACTACTTAAAGATAAAGTAGGATTGTTTCCTTAAAGTTGCCTAGCCTACCTAACTCTTTGGACAGTGAAAAGAATGATAAGCATAGAATGGAAAATCCTATGAGGTTGGGAAATAGGGATTTCAGGATTTCTATCCAAAGTATTTGTTGGAGGAGCTATCAGAATTTTATTAATCTCCCTTTTTTCCTCAGGATCCATTTCAATGAGTATATCTCATGGATATATTTATGATAATTAATAATCTGTTAAAAAATGAATCAACTTAACAATAATACTCCATATTTTTATAGAGATAAGAGACAATCTTCTTGATAATGAAATTTTTTAAATAATCTTGCATATCTATAAAATTTTATATAAAGTCATTTCTACACAAATATAGGAAATCAAGCAAACGAATCAAACTTATCTGACGCTCAAGCATTTATTCATATCTGGGAAATCTTTTATGGCAAAATTATAGAGATCAAGCATTTATAAAAAAAACAGGAAATTTTTTTGTTGCTGGGACATACATTACCCTATTCCAAAGCCAATGAAATTGTTGATAAAGGATTAGATGTTACCATTATGGATATCTAGATTTAGATGTTGCAAAACAAATGACAAATTGCTCGATTTTTTGAAATCATTTTAAACGAAGATAACAAATTAAATAATTGAAATTATATCATACTTGTATACATAACATATTAATAATTTATATATTTTTGATATAACATGGAAAAAAAATCAATATACCTGCAAAATAATTTTATAAAGAAAATTCCCATTGTTTTCAAATTTTCCTGTTTTTCCTCAAAGTTCCTAATAAATTTTTCTCAATTATAAGTTTCCCAGGAAATTTACATTCCTAAATATATTATAAATATATAGGAAATTTTTGCATAGTATATTTAATTTTTCAAGTAACGAGTAATGTGTTACTTTTTAAATAGCTAGTAATGTATGTTCCTTTTTTCATAAGGTAACAAGTAATGGTAGTGTTCCATTTTTTAGACATAATGTGAGTAACGTCTTTCTTTTTGAAGTAACATTTACAGCACTACCATAAGTGATTTTTAACAGTTTGTTTAATAAATCGCTAAAAAATGTTAAAGTTGTCATAACACCCTCCCCCATAATATAGATCAGAAGAATAAGAATGGTTATCAAAAAGCAATCATGGGATATTTTTTTATATTTTTAAGATCCAAGCCAAGATATTTGGTTTGAAAAAGTTTTCTTAAATTTTCCCCATACCTCCCACCTCATAATTTATTCTAGTGATGTGGATGATTAACAAAACAGTTGAGTGATCTTTTTATTCTGAGAACTATGTATAAATAATTTTAAATTAAGGCACAGACCTATAATATTTTTAGAAAATATACTTAAAAATAAAAAAAATATTTTAAAATTTTCTTGGGCGACTTTTGCTTAGAACAATATTCAAATACCACATATGGAAACAGTTCACTGGGATTAAATTTTATAGGTTAAGCCAGGCAAAAAATAAAATTATAAAAATTCATAGATAAATTTATAAAAGAATCCAATGCAACAATGATGTAAAAAAAAGGTCATTTTTAAGCTTCTACTCCGGATATCTCCAAAGTTATAACAGTTAGAAGGCTAAGATTTAACCCAAATATAGGTCACTAACATTAGGTTTGTTTATTAAATTTAATTGGAGTGAAAAACATGTTTTTTAGACCGATTTGGCATGAAATGTCCTCTCTACTACGTTTTTGTGTAGCTTAGTCCAGTATGAAAAAAATATAAATTTCTGGATCAGAGTCCAATGAGATCATTTAATTTTTTTAAATTAAATTTCAGTTTGGCTCAAGATTAAACTAAGTCTACCCAGATCTATTTCTGCATCTAGTTATACCAGGCAATTTTATGTGGTATTTCATTTTTAAAAGATATTTTAGCCACATAAATTAGAGTATAAAATCATATAAAAAATAAATGATAATTATAAAAATATTTTTTTGTAAATTTTATGTTATACATTATAAAGTATTTGCAAGAAGAATTAAAAACATCACATTTAAAGAACTTAATAATATAATTTTTAAAAAAAACCTCCCATCGTTCATTTGCATATTTCTCTAAGGCTTCTACAGTTTTTGCATGCTTATCTGGTGGCAAATCACATTTTGGAAGTAAAATGAATGCCCTATCATATAAAATTAAAAGATATAAATATATTACAATTACCCTTTTAATATAAAATCTCTTAAACTTGATTTAAATACATGATTAAGTGTCCAACTTGGAAAAGATATGTTTATAGGTGATATAAGAATATTTAAAGAGGTTAATAATTGCACAGCATCTTGATGTAATCTAAAAATAAAATTAAGAAAATAATAATTTATTCTACTTCAATGATTCTGATTTAACCCATGAATTGAAAACTGGATGAGAAATAGGTTGATTTACAAATAACAACCTCATAATATATGTTTGTGATAATGCATTTAGTTCACTACATACTATTTAAGCAATGTAACATGATATTAATACCGATATATAGTTAAAACAGCTGATGGTTCTTGATATATATGTTCCAAAACATTAATAGGCAAGGTAATCAAGAACTCATTAAGATTCATTATATTCAACCCATGTGAAAGGCTCATTTGGTTTATACCGAGTCTATCATAAAATAAAACTACATGACAGGTAAATTTTGACCCATGTCAACTCTCTACTAAGATTTAGGTTATACCTAAAACGAATTATTTGTTATTCGATTCGATTTGATTCGACTCGATTCGTATTTTACGAATACGAATAACACAATTATTTGATTCGAAAATTCGAATCGAATTCGAATAAGGAAAATATATTAATCGTCGAATAATTTTTTGTCTATTATTCGATCGAATTATTCGAGATTATTCGATAAAAATAATTTAAATTAATAAATATCGAAAAATAATCATATATTATTAGTAGGAATTATTTGCATTTATTCCTATTTAATAAAATTTCCTAGGAATAATGAAGAAATATTTTATATTTCTAAATGTTGTTAACGGCTGTTTTTATTCGAATAATTCATAATACAAAATTAACTTCCGAAAATTGTTTTATGATGGACGAAGAAAGTATTTATTTATATGTAATTTATAACACATATACAATTATAAATAACTAGTAGCAATCCCGTCAAGAATGACGGGCTAAACAGATTTATCTCGGTTACTGATGCTTACTACCTTAAGGTACTACATATCAAATTTGTATTTTGTTTATTTTCCATTTGGATAGGCACTACCAAATATATTTATAATATATATTTGAAAAATCGTGATTTTTGGAAAGACTCTATGGTCTAGTCAATGACATATAATATACCTAGACTGACGATTCATTCATTGCTGGGGTCTCATGTTAAAAGCTGCTTATATTTTCTAATTTTTTGAAATTAAAAAAACAAATATATATTATCCTAATTTTATGATCAAGATTGATGTTATTTGTAAATATGTTATTTTAAAAAGATTTTTCAATATTTGAAGATATTTGCCATTCAGATTTACCTAATAAGTATATTAATAATTATGATTGATATTTGATAATGGTTTTTTTTCCATTTATGTAAGTAGACTATGAGCTATTGTTGTGCAATATCATGCAATTCAAAATCTAGTAATAATAGAAAATCTTTTCATAAGTAGATTTTAATCATATAATTTATTATGTATAAATAATATTTGAATATTAAATTTATCTCCAGATTCCCTCTAAAGAATCATATCTTATTATCAACAAAATGGTTAAAGGCAATTAATAGAAAAAACTTCAACCCCACCAAATATTTTAAAAGATGTGGTGATCATTTCACCAATGATAGTTTTATTCCATCTGTTACGGGGCAACGAAGTTAAAAGGAAGGATCTCTACCATTTTCAAAATACCCATTCCTTTTAAGGATATATGATTATAATATAAATATTTAATGTTCCTAACCCATGAAACATAGTCATTAGAAGGGAAAACATATAGGATTAAGTCCCCGAAAACTTGGATCTCCTTATAATTGAGTATTTTAAGTTTTAAATAAAAAATATCACTTTTTACATTAATTTTAATACTTTTTAAATGAATTCACTTTATGTTGAAAAACATAATATCAATTGCCAAAGCTGATAAAATATTCATATATATATTTATTTTAAAATATTCTTCAAAGATAACAAATAATCTGAATAATACTATTACAGTTTCAAACTCTATAAAAAAAATTGATCATAACTATGCTGCTAATAACTAATCCTTAACCAGAAAGGTTAATTAATATTACTTCAAAAAACAATAATAACCTTTTTATTTAAAAAATATATTTTTTTTAGAGAAAATATTTTCCAAAAACAATTGACACTTTAAATATTGTAGATTTGGAGGAGCCAGCTAGTCATGTAAGCCCTATTTATTAAAATTCTTGTGTGATTTATTATTTTTCTATATTTTAATTAAGAGAAAATATGCTTCACAAACAATAGCCAATTATCACAATGATCATATATATACAGCCAATTTATCATTTTTATCAAGAAAGATCAAATATCAAGATAAATATATTTTAAAATTAAGAAAAAAATAGAAGGCCTCTTATAAGAGGGAAACTATAAGAAATAAGAAGATTATCGATTTAAAGTCAATTATGAAACAATTGAAGAATAAAATTTTAATATGTGGTGAAGGGGAGGATGTATTGGAAAAAATTTTTAAAAACATCCCTTTAGCTTTTATCAAAACCCAATTACACAGTGGAGGCATAAAAAAATCCACGGAGAATAAAATTTACCCAAGAAATGAAACAATTTGCCTCCACTGTTCATTTTTATTCTCCAAAAGCATGTAAATACTTAAGGGATCAATTTTGCCTACCATCAGAATCTACATTGAGAACTTGGAGCCGACAAATTAAAATAAGGCTAGTGGGAATTGGGGGGGGGGATTATTATTAGGACCTAACCCCAAACTCAAGTATTTTATTTAGCATTATATATAATTTGTATATTTATTGCTTTTCATATTTTAGATATCTTTTATCCTACAAAACATCTTAAGATCATCTTGAGCTCTTCTTTAGCAAGCAGATGAGGTTCTAATAATAACCCTTCTGCCTATCAATTACGATCAGCTATAAGAGGCGTTATGATAGCAAAGATGGGAGCATTAAGCACAGGTAATTGTATTCCACTCGATAATACAAACCTTTTTTGTGGAGATTATAAAAAAAATGATTATGATTATGACAATATAGATGCTATAGATTTTTCATTTATAGATGTTCCAAATATCCCAAAATTATCACCATTCGTTGATATGCAACCTATATATCAGGATATATAACACGTAACTTTTATCTGAAAAAAAGGTAAAGTGTTATATATGTATTTCTGCAATGACTGATAAAATTGTAAAGATCAAGGGAGCTGTAATTTAATTAAAATTAAAAACAGTCAGTGATTAATAATTCCTTCCAGAAATGTATCTAGATTATGCCAATATGCTGAAAGTGGTTTCCGTACATTTGAACATAATAATCAAATTAAAAGGCCTTGTATATTTAAACGAATAGTATCATTTGTGATTCGAAAGTGATAGAAACAAATATTTTATAATCTGGTAGATCACATGCTTGATCAAGAAGAAGCATCTAGCCATTATCAACAATTAATAAGATTAATAGTTGAACGTTACATAAACATAAGATTTTATCATTTTGCAGATAGACAAAATAAAAATGAAAATACCAACATTCGTCAGAAGCTGACCAAAAAACAATAAATATATCTATATGATCTTTTTAAATTTAAATGATATTAGATATATATTGTAACTATATATATATAAATATAAATGATATTTATAAAATTTTTTTGTGATACATGAATATTATTTCTATTTATTAATTATAATAAACAATTATTGATTTTCATCATTTAAATAATAAGCCCATAATATTATATTAAGAAAATCTTCAAAAAATAAAAAGGTAAGATTAAGCCAAATTTATCTGAAGTCTTAGAAATGTTTTATTATTCTTTATCTATATTTTTTTTATTGATAAAATAAACTGGATAATATAATATAAGGAAAAATAATTTTTTATTTGCAATACATATTATCCTAAGATATATATATTAAATCAATATGATCCAATTAGCACAACTGATTAAAATATTACGTGATATGTGATAAAAGCGTTTTCGCCCTCTGGTTGTGGGTACAACAGTGCTACGCTAGGTTTTCCTCAAAATCCATCAAACTGGATAGTTAATTAGGGAAAGAAAATAAGGAGCCCTTCACACGTTTGTGGGCAAGCCGCACGTACTTGTAGGCGCAACATTTCTGAAAAAGTTGCTTAAACCTCTATAGGCTTAGTAAAAAGGAATGGGGTAAAAAAAGAGCCTATACCCTAGAATTACAGTATAATTTAATTACTTTAAAGGTGAATGATGGCTGATTTTAAGTTTAAATTCTTTAATGTAAGTTTTGATGATTACTATCACTATTGAGATTTAATGTTCATATATCTGTAAATAAATATGATTAAAATAAAAAAATTTGCCTGAACAGTAGATATAGTGTTATTTTTTTATTAATGATTCAACCCATACTGAAATTTCTAAAGATTTCTAATGGTGCAGACTTCAAGAATATAATTTTTATGTCAATTTATTGATATTTAAATTTAAAAAATATAATTATCACATAACTCAAAATAGTTTCCTATATATATATTGACAATTTAATTTAAATGTCGTTTATAATAAATTGATCTTTTTAAAGTTAAAATTGAACATTCGTTTTTTAAGTAAATTGATTTATATAATATAAAATATAAAATTTAATATTAGTTTATAAGCAAATTGATTTTTTAAAATATAAAAGTTGTTTTTAACAAAAAGAAAGAAACAATTCTTATTACATTTGAAATATTTTAAGTTACACCATAAATAGCTTAAGGATGTAAAAAAAAAAACAATTTTTTAAAGTTAAGATAAAATACATGAGTGTCACTGTTTAACATTTCACACTTTTTTTTTATTTCTTATTTGCCCTCTGTCTATAATTTTTGTCGTTTGTCATTCTTGCTCGTTAACCCCTTTGTTGATCTTTTTTTGTTGTACGTTTTATCAATTTAGTTCCACACACAAAATAAACTAATTTTGTTTTAATATAAGGAAGAGAAAAAAATTTATTATCAAATTTAATTCATTATAAAATTTTCAAATTTTCTAGGCAACACACTATTTCTAACTGGTCTTTGAACGTTGCGATTCTGATCATTCACTTGTACATTTTGGTTTCTTGGTTCATCACCTCCCCTTCTAAAATTCAATGTATAAGGTGATGCATTATTATTAACATTCGCTTTAAAAACTGTTGCACCATTAGAAGAAGGTTCAACATTAGTTGATCTCTTTTTTATTTGGTCCAAGTGTCTTTTTATAATTTTGTTCCCAGTATCTATCTCATACAACAAATTTCCGTTTTTGCGTATTATTGTACCTTTTTCCCAATTATTATCCTTAAAAGTTTTATGCCA